CAATATCATGGCCAATCAAAACCATTTGATATATTCTGCAATGGGAATCACATATAAATCTGAAAGAAAAAATCCAGGCCTAAAATCAAACATGATCTGCTGTAAGAATACATTTTTATAATGGAACTTTAGGTCTTTTTCAGTGCCTACATCTGAGTTTAACATACCTGGCTACACTTCAACAAACATTGCAAATGAATTCAGCCACAATGCCTTCAAATTGTCATATCCACATTCAGCAGACATAAGGCAGCTGATGACTCTTTCAGTCTGATGAGGCATAGATAATTCTCAGGAGCAAACAACCCAAAACAGTTCTGCTATCATTTGCAAAACATTATAGGAAAATGTATGCAAATCTCCATGCAAATTAGCCTTGAAAAATGGCAGGATGAAAGCCTCTCCTTACTGTCAGATTTATCTATGTTCGTCCCCTACTGCTTTGCACCAGTGCTGTCACAGTTCTACTGACCAAGGAAGATCTTTTCTTCTCGGTCAAGTTAGAAGAGGGGAAATGGATTGGTTAGGACAAGAATCAGAGGATGGTTCTCTTGGAAAGAAATGAAGGAAGGTATCTGGAAAAGAATGTCCCTACAATTAATCGAGTCCATTTGTATGGCCTGTTAGCAGGATTAAATAACTTCCTATGTGTTTCTGTTTGTTTGTGTGTTTCCTTTTTACATTCTTTTTTTCCTCTTTGATCTCTGTATTGTAAAGCCAATAAACATTTTAAAAAAGACTGAATAACTTGTCAACACCATGCCCCAAACCTTTGGGACACGGCAAGATATAAGTCTGAAAGAAAAACAGAAATAAACACAGAACTAAGTGGCTTCTATTACTTGTTGCCTGTGAACCAAGCAGCTTCTAACCCTGAAGTAAATCAGTAGGTATGGAGGTGGGTACCTGTGATGAAATAACTGAGCTCAGCATTCAGACCCACATCAGTGTCAGTACAATTCAGACGGACCACTTTGAAGTCACGTGGGATGTTTTCCAGAAGGGACACATTGTAGACAGCTGGGAAGAAGGTAGGGTTTTCGTCATTCACATCTAAAACTATAAGAGAGAATTTGATCAAACTTCATTCTGGGGCACAATTCAAGTACTCTCTGACTTCCTTAAAGGAGCTGCAACCAGTTCTACAGTAGTTACTGCCAGTTACTCTATTGCTTTAGGTATGTATGTATGTATGTATGTATGTATGTATGTATGTATGTGTGTGTGTATGTGTGTATTATTTACGGTCAAAGACCAGCAAAGTAGCTACAACATTAAAACAACGCATAAAAGCAGGCTAAAATACACAAAGAACAATAAAACCACCCTACAGACCTGCCAATTAAAATCTACACATATAAGAAGTTAAACCAAAGAGAATGAAATAAAACAAAGTGAAAGAAAATAATTAAAATAAAAATAAAATTTAGATAAAATAAAAGGACTTCCTCATGACACTTTGAAACTCCTTACGGCAATAGCTGCTTTAGGCAATCATTTGCACTGCCACAAGAGTTTGATGTGAGATCTGATCTATGGCTAAACTGCCTCCTTAAAAAACAAAACACCCCCCCAACACACACACACACACACAATGCGCGCACGTGCGCGTGCACACACACACACACACACACACACACACCCAGACAGACTGGGTAGGAGGAAGAAAGGCCACTCAGTGTAGGCAATATGAGGCTGGCAAGAGCCTGAATAAAACAAATAGATTGCAGAGGTAAGTCAATATTTTCCCTAACGTAAGGTTTAAGTGTATTAAGTTTAAGTAATCCTTGAATGCGGGCAGTGTTTTTCAACCTCAGCAACTTTAAGATGTGTGGACTCCAACTCCCAGAATTCCCCAGCCAGCATGTTGCCTGGGAAACCCTGGAAGTTGAAGCCTACACATCTTAAAATTGCCAGCTTTGAAAAACACTGAACTAGAGCGTCCAAAGAGGGAAGTGAGAGAATGAATTGACATAGACTGTAATCTTTTAGGCCATTAAACAAGTTGACTGCACTAGAATGTGTGGCGTGAGAGAGATTGAGCTAGACTGAAATGGGAAGTAAGTCAGAAAATAGAGTGGTAAAATAGGAAAACATAATGAACAACATATGTTGTTTATGTTTATATTAATCATATTATCCCAGATGATAGAAAATGATATGACATGATATTATTCCAGATGATGGAGAGACAGTTTGGTGTAGTGGTTTTGGTACTGGACTAGAAATTGGGACACCTAGTCCTTCCTTAAGCATAGAAGCTGGCTGGGTGACTTTGGGCCAATCACAAGGTGGTTGTCCTGGGGAAAATAGGAGGAGGGGACATTACGGATACCACCTTGCATTGCAAAAGATAAAGGTAGGATAGAAATCTAATTAATAAATATAAAGAATCTCTTCCTTTCTGGAATGGTCTGGAGTAAATTCCTGCCATAACTTTTGCTTCTTATATGGTTTTGTTATTCATATCCAGGCTCCCTCAGGATACTTTGCACATTTTGTTTCTCCAAATCTGGCTTTATTTGAGCCAGCTCAGAAGGGACCGACGAACAAATATTGGTAGCCTCTGGATAAGATTACTGTCCAATTCTGTGCCTGGCTTGCTATGGCTTTTTGTCCCTTTGCTAGTAAACACAACATGCAAATTGTGTCATGAGCATAGCACTGACCTCTCTACCGACCCTAACTAATGCAGAGAAAATTATTGGAGCTATTAGAACCAGAAAGAAACCTCTGTGCCAACTTTGGAGAATCACCCTCCCCACTCACTCATGCATATTTAAAATATGATATAGTAGCAATATTGAGCCAGCATCCAGAGTGCTTCAGTCCATCAATCACCTCTGACAGTGAGGGTGCTAGTAGAACTTTTGGATGGCTCCCCTGCATCGCTTGCTACTACCCTCAAGTAGTATTCAGCAATTCTTTCCCTGTCTAGAATAGTAGTGGAGTTGATAAGACCGCTCTTGCTGTTGATGACAAAGTCCATTCTGGGCATGCCCACCTGCATGCGGTATGTCACTTGGCCATTCAAGTCTTTGTCAAGGTCTATGGCCACCACCTAGGACATGAAGCATAAGAGTGAGGAGCTCATCCTGATGAAGAGAAAAGCAGATTTTTTTTTTTTTTTGATTCTCAGCAGAGCCAGCAATTTACTTCCCTGAGACACAGGTATTTTCAAACAGCAGTTCTCAACAGTTGCCTTGATGGAGCCACTACACTAACATTGACATTTCTTCATGGAGCACCATGGAAGCCAACTGTTTCAAATATGTTTAAGGTAATCTTGGTAAACAAGAGTGAACCTTATATATCATGGGATGTAAAATTCACTATTTTTAATAATTTATCAGGCTGACTCACAGTATATTTACTTGCATTTAACCTAATAGTGATGTTACTATATTATTGTTGACCTTCCCCCCCACTGTTGATCATGAATGGTCTTCAGACAGCAAGTTGGCAGCCATTGCTTTAAAATATCACCCCACTAGTGACATTTAAATCTCCTGCTCATTGTATTAAAATAAGAAATAAATGCAAGTGTAAACTTATATGGGTATAAAGACACAATTATGTTTGTAATGCAAAATTAAACTATGTTAGGAAAGGGGATATTCCCCAAACTGAGGAAATGACAAATGGACACTGCATGCTGGCAGTGCTCGTTCCTGACGCTTGCTCACATTTTCCTGAATAAACTGAGAAAACTTTTCTCAGTCTGATGTTCCCTCTGGAGGCTGGACTAATTCCCATTTTGTCACAACCAGCCTGAACTCAGGTGAGAGAGATGAACTAGGCTAGGGCTCAGCCCACTATCCCAATGTTTCTCAACCTTAGCAACTTTAAGGTGCGTGGATTTCATGCTGGCTGGGGAATTCTGGGAGTTGAAGTCCACATGCCTTAAAATTGCTGAGGTTGAGAAACACTGTGCTAGCCAACTGCTGTTTCATCATTATATTTAAACTCTCCCAATTTCTCCTTGGCCTTTCTATACAAAATGGGAAGATAATAGCAAAAGAAACAACATTTGACAGCTTAGCAAATTCAGAAAGGGAAGGGATGCTGGTTTTGTAGAAAACTGTAATCAAACTGCCGAGAAGAAAATGCCACGAGTCCTCTCCACCACCAACCCCATTGTAACACCGTATGCTAACTAAAGGACATGTTCCTCATTCCTTTAGTTGGCATATAATTAAGATGAAAAATAAGACTTACCTGGAAGACAGATGACCCTGCTGGAAGACCCTCAGGAATCTCAGTGATAAAAGGTAAATTCTGGAAGGTGGGATCATTGTCATTAAGGTCCAGCAAGCTTACAAACACAGTGGCGCTACTTGTGGCCCGTAATGGTGGCCTCCCACCTGCAGGGATCAGAAAAAGTCATAGCCTCAATCCCACCAGTACCTTTTTCCACTGAAGCCTGTAAAAGAGACTTTCTAAGACATTGTCATGGTGGACCATCCTAAAATGAGCTCCAAACATCTTTGAGGATTAGGTAGTCTTGGGAAAGGTCAGTGTGATGACAAAACCATTACACTAGACTGCAAAAGTAGAGTTTAGAAGGCAGCACTTTTTTTTTTTTTAATCTACTTTAAAACCCTGTAATGTTTACAGAGAAAAGCCAAAGTTTCGTCAACAATATGCAATATATAAGAATGTGGAAGTAACTCCTGTAGTTTTAACAACAAGTAAGGAGACAGCTAATGTAACTTAAACAAGCATACGATCAGTGACGGAGACCACAATCTTCCTCATGAGCTCAGCTTCCTGGGAGTTTGGATTCTCTCTGTCCAACACAACCCCTGTTGTCCGAATCTTCCCCGTGGTGCTATTAAGGCTGTAAAACTTATTCGGTGGTCTGATGCTGTAGACAAGAGAACCATTTTCTGCGAGGTCTGGATCAAAAGCTACCACCTAGAGAAATCAGAAAGGCATGCTACAGTATATTGGTATATAAAAGAATGCTAAACAATCTTTTCCATTTCTGAGCATTTATGTAAGCTCTAAGGGGAAATATGAAATAGAAACGATTAGGATACAAGCATCACTTACAGTCTAATTGGAAAAAAGTGTTCATGCATCTTTTGTATGGCAACAGCAATCATAACAGCATCACTAACGTAATATGCAAGCAAGGCCGAGATCACTAAGAGGGCTACCAGATCTGCTGTAAAAATCAAGTCTACCAGTGGATGGCCACAAAGATGGATACACCAAACTTGGATTCTCTCTGTCGAACTAGATGTTTGACCCCATCTAGTGACTACCCAGTTTTTGCAGTCTAGATCAGGAAGCTCTAATTACAGAAGAAAAACTAATCAAAGTTCTGCCCTACCTCATCACATTCCTTCTGAAACTTGGCAAAGCACATATTTAAAGGGTTCAACACCCATGGGTGCCCTAGATGGACGGCTAATTCATTACCAGTCCAAAGGCATTCTACAGCTGTTCTTCCTTAATGGGTTTTCAGCAGTGAGAGAAGGATGAAAGAAGTGTTGAAGAAATATGGAAGAATTATAAATGAAAGATGTGGGCATCTAGGCCCTTCGTTAAATTCAGTGATGGGAGTAAGGTGATCACACAATGCATGTCTTATCCAAAAGCACCCACACATTATCAGGAAATGTCAAAACACTTCTTTTATATTTTTAAAGGCAACAGTGCTAAAAATCAGGAGAAGAGAAAATTCTTCAGGAGATGAATGAAAATCACCGCATTCTACCACCAGCCCATCTGACAAGAAACTCCTATTCAAGATACTAAAGGGCATTCTTTGGTTATACATTGCAACATATTTACATATCCATCAATTTGCACTAGCAGTGAGGATTAACAAGCTTACTCATCACACAAAAGTTTCCTGAAATGCACTTATCAATTGTTTTCTAATGTAATACATTTACAGTAGGTCCACTGTTGAAAGTGATACATGCATGATAGATCTCATATTATATTTGCACAGATCTTCAGGCACAGTTTAAATTAGGGAGCATGGCAGTGTCACTTAAAGCTTTGAAATTCAGCTCCTCTTGCAAGGAATGGTAACTTTCTCAAGAACGAAAATTAAGCTGTCCTCAGTTTCTTTTAGAAATAAATGAGTGCATTTTTTCTAATGATGTTTACTTTTAACTATGGTATCGTCCTGGACAATCCTAAATTAAGGTCATAATGGGGGATTTAAGTCCCAAGTGACTGATCTCAGGGTGGATTCATTTAACCACTTTTTCTACAATGAATGAGGCTGGAACCTAGCAAGATGGTGTGCAGATGTATTGGGGAGTGTAGGCCCTGGATGTCATGACTTTTTGTAGTTTTTATTGATGTTTATTTTATGGTTTGGGGGGTTCTCTTGTTTTTACTGTTTTGTGCACCACACAGGGTTGTTGTTACAATATAGTGGCTACATAAGTATTTTAAAATAAATAAGCAATTTTTTTGATGGAGGTCTACATGCTGTTCTGGTTTACTGAATGTCTACACATGTGTTTGTATTAAAAATGTGTCAATCTCGGTTTTGGGGTGTGTGGGAAGACAGAGTTTTAAACATATTTTTGCAAGGTTTGTTCACTGATGTAAGACAAACAAACCCAGTTTTCTTCCCATTATGTATTATTCCAATTAATTCACAGGGAAAAGAGAACAGGAAGAAGGCCAGTGACAAAGGAAGAAACCTTTCTTTTCTAAGTGAGTTTAATGGCATCAGCATATATCCAATCAGATTATGTTACAATACAACATCACTGAATGCAAAGAAACACACTCATTGCCCTTAATAGAGGACTAAGAAGTAAATACTGTCTTCATCTTAAAGGAAGTCTAGTTTTCACCTCCATTTACCTTTAAAATTGGAAGATCATTTTAAATTCACTAAGCATATAAAAATGAAGGCTGATGAGCTTGTCTTCTTTGGGATGGGTTGTCCTAAATTCACAGTCTTCTTCCTTTCAGGGTGTTTTGGGTGTTTGTGGGTGTGCGTGTGCACACGCACCTTTGAGTCAGTGTTGATTCCTGGAAACTGCAGTTTTCTTGGCAAGGTTTTTCAGAAGTGGTTTGTCCTTGCCTGCTTCCTAGGACTGAGAGAGAGGGACTGGCCCAAGGTCACCCAGCTGGCTTTGTGCCCAAAGTGGGACTAGAACTCAGGGTCTTCCGGTTTCTAGTCTGGTGCCTTTAACCCCTACATCACACTGGCTCTCTACAGTACATCTCCTTTGCTGATGCAACTGAGTTAGCAATTCTTGTCCCATCACAATGATCTGATACTTCACTATTTCCATCTCTCTGGTTCAGAATGAAGGCAACAGCAGCAACAACAAATAAAACCCCTTGTTTTTTCTCAAGGATATTATCATCTAGTTTGGGCTTGGGGTGTTCTGCCTTTAAAATGTGTTCTTTGCTGATAAAATGGCTGTCAATGCGTCAAGAGTTTCAATATTTTAAAATGTCATAATATGTGTTCATACATTCACAGATTATCAGTGGGTGCTAAATAGCCAGCACCCTCTAAACATTTTGAAAGCATTTCTGCTGTATCCTCCTCTATCCTCTAAGGTTTGGTAACACAGCCTTGCTCTAGCGAAGCTAATGGGAATGCAGAGTGGGTTCTAACCTGTAGACAAAACACTTGCCCAGGAAAAGCTTCGAGAAATAGATTCTACTGAGCTTCTTATTTACTTATTTATGCATGCATGCAATTGCTGGTGTATCACCTCCAAGGACTCAGGGCACTTTACGAACAAGCAAATGCAACAACGAAGAAATAAGAAAGAGCCAGAATTTATCAGCAACCCACCTAAGTTCAGCCCAGGGCCATCATCTGCACCCAAATCTCACCAGAACAATGTTGTTTTTAAATCCTTGCTGAAGACAAGCAGGAGGCTGCGACTGAAAAGGCAGGCCTCCTCCTCCTCCTCCTCCTCCCCCCCCCACCACACACCTTCATCTCAAAAGCAATCCCTCTCAGATGCAGGAGCAGGCCAGATGGAGAGACAGTCCTGTAGATATCAGCATGCCAAGCCAGGTTGGGCTTTATAGGCAATAACCAGCACTTGGAAGCCAACTGGCACCTGAGGCAGCAGCCAGTGAACAGAAGTAGCCCTAACAGTCCTACTCCACCATGTTAGAAGACAGACTGCTGCAGTTTGGATCAACTGCAGTTTCTGAGTTATTTTCAAGAGCAGCCCCATTGCAGTGGTCTGCTCATGAGGCGATGAAGACCTTCGTGACCCAGGGTGCTCCACAAATGCCCTCCCCACCCCCACCCCCATGCCATGGCTACAGCTTCCACCTGCAGTTTGAGCACCAGCCGCAGTTCCAGGATTCCTCACATATCACAAAAGTTTCTGTTGCAAAGTTTCCCATTGCAAATTAATTTGATTAAAAAAAAACACAACTGTTCCTGATTTAGATTTCACTGATTGCTCCTGATTTAGAGTCCATTGGTTAGTTATGTAATTCATTTCAGCATGGCATAATTTTTGTTGTTTTTGTTTCACAGGGGTTCTCAGAGTTTACAGTATAGCAACTTCCTGATGCTATATTAATTTACTTGTCTCCCTGTAAGTAAAACAAATGCTTTCATTGGGGGTTAGGGATGGACAAGAAATGAATACATCTCTTGTAAGAAGTAAACATTAATCTCTGTGTATCACAGGGATTCCCAGACTTTATGGTTCTGCAACTGTGCACTGGAGATGGTGACATCAGGAACAAGCTTTGACAGTGTCAGTCTGATCATTTTTTTTTTTTAAATGTGGCCCCTATGTGGGAATCCAGATCCACAGTTTGAGAATCCAAGTCTACCTCACTGAGTAGCCATAGGGCAAATCAGGAGGAGAGAGTGCTGTGTACACTACTTGGTGCTCCTGAACCAAAAAGGTGGGCTATACATATAATAAATATACAGATGACTACCATGTTTAATAAAGGTAAAAGAAGAACAAAAATAAATGTAAAAATACAGCAAGGGGTATGAATAGACTGAAAAAGAAATCACTCCAATTTGAAAAAAGATGGCTGGAACTTTAAATGTGACTTGGGCTTCTAAAGTTGTATTATTTTTAAGGACATGATATTTTTAAATTTAATTTAATTTAAGGACATGAAATCATGATATACACTATGTGCTGAGGAATTCACATGCTTCAAGTTGCAACTTCTGTTCTCCAACTGAAACAGAAGTTTAAGGACCTATAGTGGAGTCAAGATTGACGGCACGTTCAAAAAGCAAAGTTTGTTCATAGATGTGGAATGAGGGAAGGCTCAAGGGCCAGTTAAGGTAACTGAGAGTCAATTTCTAAAGAGTGAACTTGGACTGGAGACCTTTGCTATTTCCACTCCTCTGTAGAAGATTAATGTTTCATTATTTTTTTTTAAACACAGTCTTCTTGTTTGATGATTTTGTGGATTCTCTCCACTTTCCACTCATTTATTTTCTGTTTCACACCCGTCATTTTTCTCCTAGTGTGATGGAGAATAATTCTCCCTCTCCCCCTCTTTTATTTTGCCAGTGGGATTTGAAGGGCTTTAAATCAATGCCTTTCAGAGAGGTCCTTGAAGGAGGTCGCAAACTAGGCTGAGAAAGTTGAAATTGGTCATTTTATTTTTACTTAAACAACAACAAAACCCTAACACATGGACTTGCACATGCAAAGAGAAAGGTCCGGGAATGGTTGCAAAGCTGGGAGTTGTAGATGCAGTTCAAGGGCTATGCATATCATCTGTGATTTATGCTTATCCAACCACATAGAATCATCATAGAGGTCACAGAATTTGTAGTACAGGAATTGGAGGTGAAAGAATTCTAGTCTTATGTTGCAGGATACATGGATTAAAAAAAAAAACCATTGCAATGGTTGTGACTTTTTATATGTCTTCATTGCTGTTGTCTGTAGTTCACGGAGGCACTGGGACAAACTTGATGAACTTTAGTCCTCCTCAATCTAACATACAGTAAACACTGAGAATGACGAACAAGACGCTGCTCTGGTTCACCATTCATGATTTTCCACTAAGGAAATACAAAAAACTTCTAGGAATCCCAGTGTTCCTTGTAAGAAGTGTGGCAACTTGATTAAATTACATGCATGAATCGGGCTATCACTGGCATTTCAAGTGAAGTTTTTCTCAATGCCGTATTTCCTGGACATGTGTCTTCATTACATCAAGTAACATGAGAAGCATTCTTCATTATAAACTCTTTACCAGGCCTTAAATACCAACCTCTGTGGTTTCCTTTTATTGCAAACTGTTTTACAGTTTGTGCCTTTATAAATAAATAATCTCCACGAACAGTTATTGGCAATTCAGATAACTTTACAAGATAGTAAATTAGTCTTTAAATTAAAAAAAAAAAGTTATTACTTAAAACCACAGTGATTAATTTACATCACACTTCTTACAAGGAACACTGGGATTCCTAGAAGTTTTTTGTATTTCCTTAGTGGAAAATCATGAATGGTGAACCAGAGCAGCGTCTTGTTCGTCATTCTCAGTCTTTAAATTAAAAAAAAAAAAGTTATTACTTAAAACCACAGTGATTAATTTACATCCAATCAGATAAGCCTGCCTCCTAAGACTGATAAGCAAGAGACCTTGGGGTATTTACCAGGGAGAAGTTCCATGTAACCTTGATGATTCCCACTGCAACTTTTACAGCTCAAGGAAAAAGTATGAAGGCATTACTAACCTACAGTTGCAGCTTTAGAGTGAGATTTTAACCAACTGGGTTACTTTCACTGCAATTGGATTTATTTCCTAGAAGATTTACTTAAGACTGCTGAAACCCAGCAGGACTCCTCCTACATGGATGCTCCACATGCTGCTATTAAACTGCACAAACAGGCAGAAGGAAACACCGAACAAACCAGCTGTAGCTACTACATCATATTCAGAAACAATAAACCAGGGGTTGGCAATTTATAGCCTGCAGGTGGATTTTTTTTGGCAGTCCCTAGAGCACACCTGGAACAGACGAGGCCAACCTTTTTGGCCTGTTGGAGGGTGGCGATTTAAGGAAGGGTGTTAATCTAAATTAGACAACAACCAGTTCCAAGAACCAATTCCAGCTTCTCTTCCTCCATCCTGCCTCCTACAATGGAATGGCCTAAGTGTGTGCATATACGGACCTCATTGAAGAAAGACAGCTCCCTTCATTCTCTTCTCCCCACTCCCAAGCACAGAGAGCTACAACGTTGATTCCTTCCCCTTCCCCATCTCATACTTAGCTCCATGGGTCTTGAAAGCTCTTTTGCAACTGAATAAAAATGCAGTCACCCTGTTGCACTGTGCACTAGCTTCCCATCATAAAACACCCACCTCTAAGAAGCTGAAGGAGGCACCTGGGTTTCCTTGAGTGGGTGTGTAGGCCCTAATGTGGTGCCCCACAAGAGCAGCAGAAGAAAAAAAAATTAACAATCATTTGTCATGTACTTGACTGAACTAGCTAGATAACATCCATGGTGGAAGTGGGTACCTTAAAAGTATGAAGGGACAAATATTGGATTTAGGAATCAATTCATTAATATACCAAAGAGATTCTAAGTCAATCCTGAAGCCAAAGATGAGATTCCTATAGACTCTACATGACATCAGTTCAAAAATGCCTTCAGTGGAAAGGCTGGTGGGTCTGTGCGTGGCTCTGTGACACTTGCTAATTATCCCTTCCCCATTAGCTCATTTTCTAAAAGTATCATTTTATAGATACTTTGTTTTTTCGGAATCACGTAGGTTAAAGTATTTGTGGAATCCTGCTTTGACTATGTTCTCCATCCCCCCTTTCATATTTTATAACTATGTTTTAAATATTTTAATCAATAGACAGATAAGGTAGAGCTAAAAAGATGTAATAGAATTCAAATTGTGATCTTTTGCACATTAGAAATAAAAAGCCACACCAAAGGAGAGCATCTGTTATATACTTGGACACCTACTGTTGTGACATCAGAGTTGGGAGGGGTCATCTCCACTAGGTTAATGAAGTACGGCTCATCTTTCCATACTGGATAATTATCATTAATGTCCAGCAAAGTGATGTTTACCTGAAAAGAAACATAGTTGTAAATTCACATTTTTTCAGATATTCCAATCAGATATTCCAATCAGATTCCCTTAGTACTGCTCTATGTGCTTCTACAAACTTAAAATATGCCTGTGTAAAAGACACACACAGAGAATGTATGAAAAAAGATGGCCCTGTCACACACAACAGAGCTTTTTTGTACTGTAAGAAAATATTTCTCCAGCCTCTTCGGGCTCAGCCAATTCCTATTCTTCATTGTCAATAGAAGAGAAGGTACTACTCCCCAGAAAGATTTTCAAAATTCTGCACTTCTTAGAAGGCTTTCTGACAATCTTGTCAGTACCTCTATCTATGAATGCATGAGTCACAAACCAATAAATGTATTTGACTAATTCTTCTCTCACCAGTCTTCCAAACCACTTCCAAGATTGCTACCTGGGTTATACACAATATGCTGAGTAGTTCCTCCACAGATATTCTTACTGTGTTTGGAAATGAGTCTGTTAGTTTTAAAAGTTGTATTTTCTTTCTATGCTTTGACTCAATCATGAGGCTTAGGTGAAGTTCATGTACAAAAATAAGATGTTTAATAGCAAGATTTAGCACTGTGCTTTTTCTTTTTTCATTTTTTGGTGCCATTGTGTCAATCTGGACTCCTGGAAACTTCATGGATAGGACTATCCAGGTTTTTCTGGCAACATTTCAAAGGTGGTTTGCTGTTGCCTCCTTCCTAAAACTGAGAGGATGATTGGCTCAGAGTCATCCAACTGGCTTCCATGCTTAAAGGAGGGCTAGAATTTGAGTCTCTCTGTTTGTAATTTAGCACCTTAACCAGCTGAAGCCCATTTTTAAAACTCATGAGGCCCTTTGCTTCTATAATGATTTGGGAATATTAACAATCAGATAAAACAAACAATTTCATTTAATATCCAGTTTTAATGAAGCGGTCTTACACTCTCTTTAGCCAGTGTAGATAAATCAACAGTCAGCAAAATTAACATTTGGATAATATTCCGACTAAATATTTGTAATTTAGACTAAAAACCTGTGACCATTTATTTGAGAGAAAGTTAATTTGAACATGATGACAGATGTTCTTTTCTCCCCCAATACTGTAACTATTTCATGACAGTGGATTTCAACAAACCAGAGAATGCAAGTTACTAATAATGTTAAAAGGTTGTGGGGAGGAGTATAATCAGTCAACTTGATAAAGAGGAGGTAACTGCTTGGTTTGTACTGTGCATCTCCTTTGGAGTCCAAGGAATTCATCATCATGAGTAGATATGGAAAATGAATTATACTCAAGAAGGAAAGCATTCCGTGACTACTGTTCCCACACCACTTGTCCCATCTGAATTATTAGACGAGTACATTGGCCTGTTCATTACATAGAGTACTGTAGTAAAGGTAAAAGCAACCTTTACCCTCAGAGTCATATTCCTGAAGCATAGCAGATATGAATGCTATTTTAATTTGGGGGAACACAATCCACTCAGGAGGAATTCAGCAAGCCCAGATGTCTCAAGGTTAAACTGCTCACCAAAATGGGCATGCTGACATGGGCAAATTCTTCTCTAATCCCTCAATCACTATAACAGTGTTGTAGCAAAGAACAAACAGCCTCATTTAAACCAAGGGATTGTATGCTCAAGCAGTGCACAAATGAAACTCTCTCTTTAAATAGTCTTCCTGGCTGTGGACTGTGATGAGGCAAGGAAAAAGCGGATCATTTTATATATTTATATTTATATATTTATTTATATATATCAAATTTGTCACCGCCCACCTCATTGAAACAACTCTGGGCAGTTTACAAAAGTTAAAATCAATTAAAATTACAATATACAATAATCTTAATAAATAGAAAATAAATAGATCCAGGAATAGATATAAAATTGGCAGTCATTCAGGGAGTGTAATCAAGGCGCCAACCACCCCCAGGATTGGGTAAGATGGTTGTCACTCCACTCATTCTGGCAGAGCCAGGTCTTTAATCCTGGAAGGCCGGGAGGGTAGGGGCCTGCTGGACCTCTGAGGGGAGAATATTCCAAAGGGCGGGGGCAACAGCAGAGAAGGCTCTCCTCCTGGGCCCCACCAGCCAACATTCTCTCGCTGACAGGGTCTGCAACATGCCCTCTCTGCCTGACCGGGTGGGACAGGTCCCTCAGGTAACCTGGCCTCATGCCATGTAGGGCTTTAATGGTGATAACCAACACTTTGAATTGGACCTGGAAGCAGACTTGGACCCAGTGCAGCTCACGCAGTAAAGGTGTTATATGTACCATTCTTGGGCCACTCAAAATTATCCGCGCGGCATGTGGTAGCTTCCGGATACTCTTCAAAGGTAGCCCCATGTAGAGCGCATTGCAACAGTCTAGCCAAGAGATGACCAGGGTGTGAGTGAGTGACTGGAGAGCCTCCTGATCCAGGGTGTAACTGGTGTGCCACACAAAGGTGGGCAAAGGACCTCCTGCCCACGACTGCCACCTAATTACTAGTTAGGGCCTTTCCAGCTATTCTTAGTTTGGAAGGACAGTAGTATGGCAGTCAAAGAATCAGACTTGAATGAAGGAGACAGGTTCTAGTTCCCATTTGACTATGAAGGGGCTGAAGGTTTCACTTTGGATGACTCTGTTTCTCTTTCTCAGCCAATCTATCTTACTGTTGCTGTGGGGATCAGAGGCCACTGCAGGATCTCTACCATAATGATATAGGCACCATCACATCATCAGAACACAAGCTCCACCCATTTTGTATGTATTGGTAATGTCACAATGCACAAGGCGTAACGATGTGTGGGAATGGCCTTGGGAGACAGGAGGAAGAGCTGCGGACTGGCCAACTGCCATGTCAAAGACATCTCAGCCCACAGAAGGAGAGGAGCTGTGTTCCAGAGAGTAAAAGGAGGGGAGGGGGAAAATACTTTCAGTCTTGCAAGATTCTATTAATGTAACCTTACAATAAAAATAGAGTTAGTACTCATAGTTGTACTTCTTGACTGGACTACCTCGAAGGGCTAACACAAGGAGAGATGCTTGAATTGTATCCACACAGTGCTGCTTTTGTTGTTTGCCCCTCTCCCCCCTCCTATGGACGTTTCTGGTGGGACAAAATTAGGGGAGGCCTTCATGCAAATATCCTGAGCTCCCAAAGAAATGGTGGAATATAGCTGCAAATAATCATAGTAACAATAACAACAGTCATCACCACCACAATAACACCTAATTCCCTTATATCAGTGTTTCTCAACCTCAGCAACTTTATGATGTGTGGACATGCTGGCTGGGGAATTCTGGGAGTTGAAGTCCACTCATCTTAAAGTTGCTGAAGTTAAGAAACACTGTCTTATAGGAACAAAGCATAAGGAACAGAGTAGATTTATCATCAGAAGTTTTACATTTCCTCTTTCTCCACACAGTACCAAAGGCTGCAGTTTTTATCAACGTACGCTACCCTGAAATGAAACAAAACCGACACTACGGATGACATGAACTTTGCTGCAGAATTCACAAAAGAAACTTGATGCAAAACACTTTGGATTAAAATATATATACTTGAGATAAGGGAACTGAATTGCCAATAAAATAATAATCACATCTAAACCTATAGACATCACAGCAACTCATGGAAGCGGCTTGGAATGGAAAAAGAAACAAGACGCTTAAGCACACCTCCTTGATCTCTCACTGTCCTTGTAAATTATTTAAACCGTTTGAAATTCCTATTAGCTGTGTGCCCTAGGGCAGTGACCTGATAGAGGAGCAGTTGCTGATGGTTTGCAGGATATCTGGGAATGAAAAGAGGAGGAATTAAAAAGAGAGAGAGAAAAAAAACCCCAAATGTAAAATAAGCAGAGACTGGAAATGGGAAGGAATTTCTAATACTGTACAGTAAAAAAAGTGGTTCTAGCAAAAGACAAACCTCACCTAATGAGCATATCTCCTTAACTTTGCCAAAGGTTTTTTTTTCTTTCTTTTTTTTTTATCATATTGCTTTTTCTCTAAGCAAAAATATGAGACCTGCTTATAAATAACATGGCCTAAGAGTTTCTTCGTATATATTCTCTTCACTCATTCCAGGCCAGGGTGAAAAAGTGAAAGGAGCAGAGGGAAGAACAAATAACAATTATAAAACAATTATTATTACATTAATATCTTGGTATGCTGATTTTCCTCTATGCTCTAAGAAGCAGAAGTTAACATATATAGAATTTTCACATCTCATTTGGAAACTGAAAATACAAGTTTGGCTCAGTTGAATGATGATAGCTGGCCAAGATAATCCAGAGAGCTTAATGGTGAGGCAAGGATATGAACCCAGGTCTCCTAAATCAAAATCCAGAACTCCATATTGTCAAATCAACCCACAGAAGGCTTGTCATGGTTCTGAACAAGATAAAATGCTCAGCTTCAGTAAGCTCCTAAGTTAATCAAGAGCTATAGAAATGCAAGCGGTGAATTCAAAATAATTCCGCAAAGACCTCCAACCTCAGGCATTTTGCCTATACAAGAAGAGAAATATTTTAATCTAGTTTGAAAAGACTTAACAAGCAGAAAATTAGTTCACCCCAAACATGTGCAAACTCATTTTCCCAGATAGGGAATAGCCTAGGTTTGAGTGCCATCCAGCAGCCCCGTACTCTCATCAGATCTATGATCTTTCCAGATACACCTGGTCATAGCTTCTCATTAGGCACAAAAAAGATACAAATGGGAGTCTGGAAGACTAGGACTGTTTCATGACCGAAGAAAGGAGAAAGAAAATGAACATCTCAGCCAGATCTTGTAGGGTAATACACAATCCGCCTTTCTTCTTGTTTCCTCCAGCCTTTTTTAAAAAAATGATCTAAGCTAAATAACATCTTAAAGAAAACCCTTTACAAGTCAGCCTTTTTCCTCTTAAGTTTTTTTTTTTTTTTTAATCAGTGGAAGGACTGTTTTTGGTTGCTTTAAATGTACCTGGATGGCAACCTCCAATGTTCTGTGTTAAGTGTTTGTAGAAAAGTATTAGGACTAGAGTTACCTGCTTAAAATGTCTATGACAGAAAAGTCCATCAGTGGAAAAGTAAATTCTTCAATTACTTGTGTAATACTTTGTATACATCTATACAAAAGTAGAAGATACAGTACATTTGATTTACTATAATGTCATGTAGTAATCTAATACGGGAGATCAAGTTGAGATGACATTTCAACAAGTCTTCTCCAAAACAATCCCACCTCTTTGCTCTTTTCTTAAAGCGCTGAGTAGGTGGCCATGTGAAAGTTTCTAAGTCATGGAAGAACAGTTCTGTTCTGTTGAAGGTAGAAAGGCCAATTATTGTTAAAAGAATTTAGACACATAACTATGTTGCAAACATCAAATGAAGCCATAGCAGTGAAACTCACAGTTGCAATGCCAGTTTTCTGATTGTGACCAACACCGCCGTCCACTGCTCGCACAATGAGTATATATTCTGATTTAGCTTCCCGGTCCAGGAGAGATGTGGTAGTGATTTCCCCTGAAGCAGAGAAGAGAGAGGAGTGAAAAGAGAAGGAAGAGCTTGTAAATTGGATGGCAGTGGCTCAGAGGGATTTAAGTTATATATTCTTTTCCTAAGATTATACAGAACAATATGGCATAGTCACATGGACGTTCTTGCAAACCTCTTTACCTTTCATGATGTCACAGAAGGTACGCCTTCTAATTGCTAAGAAAGACGGGATTAGCAACAGAATGCTGAAACATTGCAGCATCTGAATGGGAAGTAAAAAGTCAGTCTACTTGAAAGAAAGAAAAGATATAAAGCCCTACAAAAGCTATTAGCAGGAACTAGAGGATGTAAGCTGGAAGCTATGGAAACAGGAAAGCTGAAGAAAAAGAAGTCCCAGGTCAATTGTATGTTTGGGTAATTTTGTAATCAGATGTACAGTACCTCCAATGTCAAAGGAATTCTTATTTGGAATCATGTATGCCTTGTTTCAACTGTATTGTAAATTCAGTCTAAACTATGATGCTATGATGCTCAAGATAACGTCTGTAGGTTTGAAGTGCATGAAAGAGCTATCTGGGTGTGATCCACTATCTAATACTTCTCTAATAGCCTTCTGAAGCTGTCTGATCTTCCCTCTTATTGCTCCAATAATGAACTGAAAGGTGCCCAATTGTCTTGTTTGTACAGTAGGCTAACCAAGATGGAATCATTCATCCATTCCCTGCCCCACAGCCCCAGTATTCAGCCTATACAGTGAAGTTCAATTCCCTGGTCAAACACAAATCACTTGAATTTTAAGGGGCTGTCCACAGCAGATTATCTGGGGGAAACGATTAAAAATTGATCTTGAACTGCAAGAGGTCAAAAGATTCACTGAAATACATTTGCCTCCCAAGTTCCTGTGATACCCATTAATCTGTAGACTGGAAAAAAAAGTCAGTGGGGGACTTAAAAAAAAAAAAAAGGAACATGTCTCAGTGATGAATTGGTCCACTTTGCCCACAAAGTTACGTCCAATTAGGCACACCTTCACAGAGCAGGTTCAGCTAATTTTAGTGATGCTGTTCTTACAGAGTTCTTAAGTTGCCCCTTTTTTGGCACGCAGAATCATCTCCCTTCCTACAGAATAGGGGAACAAGGCAAGAGACTGAAAGTGATAGCACATCAAAAGCACTGCTATGCCTTTTCCAGATCGTTTGACAATTCTGTAAATTGAACAATGGCATCGGGAAAAATATAGGCAAGGCAACAAGAGTCAATCACATTTTGTATCCCTGCACTAAATCATTGATATGGAATGGATTCTGTGTTTCTGCAGTCTGATGCTGGTAGATGCTTGAAGCAGGACTTTAAATTCCAGAGCCCCATCCAATATGGTCATGATGGTTGGGAGTTATGGGTGTTGATGCCCTTCTTGAGAGGACAAGATTGGGAAAAGCTAATATTAATACTACTAATACTGCTACTGCTCCTGCTGCTTTTCCTACTATTATTTCTATTGCTAGCCTAGATCCTCTTCCTGCCCCTCTTAATATATCCTGCCCAATCAAGGGACATTTTAAGGTAACTTATAATGACAAGTAAAACCAACCATTAAAATATCAAGATTAGCTTTATGGTTTGCAAAAAGAATTGCTTAAATACCACATTTTTAACAGACTCAGGCATGGATGGTGTCAAGATCTCATTTCATCCTGATGTAATGAATGTTATGTGGGTGAGATTCAGCTCTCTTTTCTACATCTAAAGTCTTCTCTTAATTTTATTTATTTATTTATATTTATATTTTTTTGTTTTACCAATTGGTTTGAAAGCTGTCTTGGGAGGGCAAACAAAGATTAGCTAAATAATCTGTTTCTTCAATGTGCTTGGGGTTTTCTTCCCTTCTCTATAGGTGAAATCTGATAAATCCTCATGCAATTTATGGGTTACAGAATCCACTCAGGCAGTGGGTATGACTGTTATAAAAAGAAGTAGTCAATGAAATTCCTTCTTTTGACTTGGAAGAGCTGAGAAAATGATTGGTCAGTCTCAGTTGTATCTCTTCTGGATGAGGAGCTTGGAAATATTATTATTTTGTTTGTTAGCTGCTTTGACCAACATGAAAAGAGAAAGGCAGGGTAAAAATTGAAATAATACACATTAATAAATATAAAACTGAAAGAAATTAAAGTAGAGAAAGAATATGTGAAATTAACACTGAAATTCACATTCAATAAAACTTTAGAGGAGAAGCAGATTAAAATTATTACAACTTTCAAAGCAGCTAGTGAAATTAAAAAGCTCTGGCAAATAAATCTACTTTTACTTGACATCTAAGATTCATCTGGGTTGGTATCAAACATAAGGACATTTAAAGACATTTTAAAGGAAGAATTCCAGCACTAGTGCAAGGACCTGTTGGTGCATTTCCACAGATGATCTTAAAGTACAGGCATGTTTATAAAGAAGTACATACTTCCATTGTGGGGGAACACTGCATCATATAGCACATAGTCTCTATTATGCACCGAGAATCATCTTTGCTAATCTTGTAAGTCCTGAGTTTAACAGAAGGAAAACACAAAGAAGAGAGGAGGGTGATTAAAGAAGCAGAGGTCCTCTCCCTCATAGCTATCAGTTGCAAAGGTACGTCTTGTGACCTGCTGATTGACAATGGTGGGTGCCTGACTGCTTCATCCTGAGATGGTAGGAGTGATATAAGGCAGCTGGGTTCCAAGAAGTGAACTCACTGAGTGAGTGAACAAGGTGTGTAAGTAGGAATTTCCCAGTAGAGTTTGCTGGGGGACTCTAAGGAGGAGTCCCTAACAAATTTTCTGTCTAAATCAACAGTGTGTAGGTGGTTAATTTGAGGTCTAAGAATCAAACAAGAAAGTAACAGATTTTTATGGTGGCTTGAGGAAAAAGAAAGTGAAGAAGCATAAACAGGACTTGGTAGTTGTAACCTGCTTATAGCATGTCTATGTTTATGCCTGTAAATAATTTGCCATTTATTTAGAATAAGTGCAAACTTGTAGTGATGTTTGAAGAGGTCAGAGGATTGTAGCAAGGAGTGACCAGACTAAGCTCATGAGGGAGGGTGAAGACTTATCAGATCAAATAAAGGAGGCACTACAAGAGATCATGGAAGAAGCTGCTCTCCATCAGGAAGGCAATCAAACAAAAAAGGTAAGCCTAGAAGACAAATGTGATGACCAGAAACAAGAAACCCAGAAGATATTCTGCTCTGCTGGAGTTCAGCAACAGCTTTCAGGCTCTTGCAGAAGAAACAGGTTTTGAGGTTTCAAGGAAGAAAAAGGAATGGTGTGGAACAACAGTTAGTACACTTGAAGAGCAGAGGAGATGCAGCTACACCTTGCAAGAAGAGAATAACTGTGGTAGTTAGCGATTTAAACCATGAAGAACTGTAACAAATGTGTGCAAACCAGATCTTTTAGGTATTGTTTGCCAGAAGCAAGGATCAGGCTTATTGACTCCACTGACAGTTATTCCTTCCTGCTAATTCATTTGGGACAAGTGATACTAGAAATTATAGTTACCACAGCATCGCTGTGAATTTTGACTATCTAGGAAGGGAGTTCAAGAATCTTGGGGGCTCAGATGGTGTTCTTATACCTCCTTCCAATTTATGGAAGAGGACTAAGGGGAGCAGAATACTGCAAGCAAATGGATTTAATGGAAGAAACCATATTCTGGAACCATAAACCAAATTCTCTGGATGGAGGAATGGAATGGAATGGAATGGAATGTGCTTTACAATGAATGGTAAAAATGTGTGCAGCTATGGTGGGTGTAACGGACTTCTCAGAGCCTGGGAAAGAGAATGGTAGTTTGCAAAATATTACAGGGCAACATCTGCACATTTCTCCCATATTTGTGAAGCAAGTAGTAACCTCTCCACTGCTTTAAGATGTGATCAGCAACAAGACCAAAGGATCCCCATTGTAACAAACTTACCGATAAATGGATGGTAAAGTACATACAAGATTCTGTAACCTAACCCCCCCTCCCCCTGCTTTCAATACATCTGGCTAATAAGGTCCTGTGAAAATCTAATCTTCCTGGCTGTGAATAATAACGACTAGGAATTTGGAAGTGAGATTGGAGGGTTTTAAACTGAATCTTGTATGGGTTGGAGATGAAAACCCTCCGGTAAAGAATTCAGATAAAGATTTGTGGTCTATAGAAAGAAGAGGGAATGATGCTGCAATGAGGCCTATTAAATCATTCAGTGACACACAGAAAGAACATGGGCTCACGAAGTTCATGGCCTTCATTGTCTGTAGTTTAATGATCAGAATATGGGAAGTAAGCAATATTAGCTTGAATTCAGTGCAGGAAGGAAATATGATTTAATAGCTTTAACAGAGAACTGGTGGGATAAGTCCTATGACTGGAATACAACAATTGAAGGATACTGCTTGCTCAAAAGGAACAGGTGCAGCAGAAAGGGAGGAAGACTTTAACTTGTGTTAAAAGTATACACACATGCTCACAAATCTTAATGAATAAACTTGGCAGTGCTAGAGAGAGTGAGCTCTGGGACAAAATAAATTGAGGAATAAATAAAACTTGTAGTCAATGATAGTTAGTTCTTGGTCGACTAACTAAAGAGATTCTTTTGTTTGTTTGTTGCAAGTACTTATATACCACCAAGCTCCACAGCTGTTGGTGGTTTACAATAACATTAAAAACCTGCAATTAATCAAAACAATACATATAATATCATGTATACATATGTGTGCGCACACACACACGTCAAGTCAATCTTGACTCCTGACACCTGCCTGGACAACTCTCTGCAGTTTTCTCAGCAAGAAAGTTTTTCAGAAGTGCTTTGCCATTGCCTCCTTCCTAGGGCTGAGAGACAGGGACTGGCTCAAAATCACCCAGCTGGCTTTGTGCTTAAGGCAGGACTAGAATTAATGGTCTCCTGGTTTCTAGCCTGATGCCTTGAAAAGGTATTTTCCACAAACTACTCTCTTTCAAAGACAGATGAAATAGTAATGTAGTAATGGTAGGGTATTTAATGAACCTGATATCTGCTGGGACATAAACTCTGCAAAAATGGTCCTTCCAAAAAATTTCTGACCCTGAAAATTTTCTCTGTTAAGAAGGCACAAGAGGTTCAGCTATTCTTTACCTGATACTCACTAAAAGAGAAGATTTAGCAGGAAGTAATAAGAACATTGGGAGAAAATGACCAAGTAACATTGGAGTTCTTAAGGAAAAGAAAGAACCAAGCACTAAGAAGCCAAGTGTAACATATATGCTAGACTTCAAAAAGTGGATTTTAATAAACTCAGGGCACGGTAAGTAGGATTTCATGGCAGAGGAAGCTACTGGAAAAGGAGCAAAAAGTAAGTGGAAATCCCTAAACAAAGAGGAGATACTGAAAGCACAACTGCAAACAAATCTGATTAGAAAAAGAAGGAAGACATGAGAAGGACCCAATGCAGCTGCTCAAAAAACTTCATGACATTTTGAAAACAAACAAGGATAGTTGGTGGAAAGAAAGGCAGTCAAGACTGTAGAGACATGTCAGGAAAGTTAAAAGATGTGAGGTTGGCATTAGATTCTAAGAACAACAACAACAACAAAAGACTTCAATTCAAATAAAAGAAAGAGTTAATGTATCAGCGCCTCAGCAAAGACACCCAAATGTCAAGAGGTTACAAAGAAAAAGCAGGGCTATTCAGTTCCTATTTTGGCTCAGACTTTTTCAACCAGAAAAAGGAAATTGTGGAGAGCATGATGCAGGATTGAAATCTGAGAATGATAAAAACATGACCATAATTGTTCCACTTTTGTGTGCATTGGTGAGAGCCCACTTCAAATAGTGTGTCACATCACATTTTAAGACAAGTTCAGACAACTGTTATTGTTATTACTACTAGTACTACTATTACTATTAGTTTTATTACGATTTATATCCTGCCTTCATTTTATCCTTACACCAACAAGTGTGTGAAGTAGATTGGCCTGAGAGACTGTGACTAACCCAAGGTCATCCAGTGAAGTTCTTATGGCTAAGGTTAGGCTTGAACCTGGGTTTTCCTGAAGTTGAACACTTTAACACCTTGTATACTAGTTCTCATAGTGAAGAGAGACTGAAGAAATTGGAAGTGCTTTGTTTTCAGAAGAGAAGAATGGTAGGGGATAAGTTAGTGTTCTTCATATACTGGAAAGGATGTCACCCAGTAGAAAGTCAAGATGTATTGTCAGTTACTGTGGAATTCAGGACATAGAATACTGGATTTAGGTTACAGGAGAGATGATTCTGACTGAACATTAAGAAAGATCTTCCTAAAAGCAGTGTGACAGTGAAACCAAAGAATCTGTGTTTTGTAGTTCATTGATGTGATCAGGTGGAAGATAGTCAGACAGATATTTATTTTGGATTTCCACACTGAGCAGGTATAGTATTCAGTGCTTAAATGCCCCTTCCACCACTCAGATTTGGGAGGTGTTCATATTTTCCGTGTGAAGCAAAACAAAACCTTGGGAATGGCATTTTAATAGTTTCAACTTGTTTTGGGATGGGTTCCCCAAATCCTTGGATGCCATGCTCCACTCCAAAAGTTTGCATTATAATTGAATTGTAATTTTTAATATGACAGTGAGAAATGATTAAATGTGGGGAGTGATCTTATTAACTGTATTTAACTAATTAAATTAAAATTAAATCATGTTTTTGTCTTGGCTTTGTTCATTTTCTGGAGCTGGCCATTTCTGGCATGTCATTCAAAGAACAGATTATGCTTCTGAGCTTTAAGGCAATTTGCTTTGATTTGCAGAATGCATGTGGCTTTGAATTCTGGGCAATTTGAACATTTCCATAACACAAATGTTTCATGAGAATTATAATAAACTGATCTTGCACTGGGGTTAAGCAGTATGATCCTTGCATTCCGAACTGTATTTTTATTTCTCTTTGAATGGACAGTTTGTTAGATGAGGGAAAGCAGAGCCATCAAATTGAAAAAAAAAACCTTAAAAATCAAGAAATCAAGAAAAAGGAAAGAAAGGAAAATGCCATAGTTATACTTACCGGAACGAGCATTAATGCGAAAGTGCGAAGATCCTTCCAAAGAGTAAATAATAGATTCTTGGCCATATTCTCTTGACCGGTCAAAGTCAGTAGCATTTAGAAATAGCACTGTTGCTCCTTGAAGAAAACAAGAAAAATAAGCTCAAAAGTTCACAAGCCAAATTAGACTAGTATAAGTTTATTGCTGAT